AAGAAGAGGAGAAAAAAGAAGTGGAGAAAATGTTGAGATAGGTTAAAGCTGTGTATGCACGTGAGGTAGAGTGCTTATGCATATCATGCATGTAAACTAAGAGATGATGATGGAAGTGGCTAACCATCATAGCAAAGTTGTTAGGAAATGGTTTAGGGTTGCTAGGTTGTTATAATTGTGCTATAAATGATAAGTGTAAAGGTGAAGCAACATAAGCTGATTCAATAAAGAGAATGCTTCTTCTACTCATTTTTGTTAGTTCATTTGCTGCATTTTCTACATTGCTTGACACCCATAAATTGTCATCGTTAAATATTAATTTTAAAATAGCATAAATTTAATTCTTGGTAACCCGCAGTACATGAGGCTGAGTGCTTCCTTTTCCAGTCAATTCACATAAAAGTGATCATGAACACCCATCCGTAAAAAAATGAAGAAACTCTCATAATCTATTGAACAGTTTGTATTTACTTGATGTTTTTGTTTGTGAAGCATCGAATTGGATTGTATGCAGAATATGTGCGAGCAATGAAGCAACTCTCATCTCATAACCAAAAGGAACGTTAAGGTATGGGACAAAGGAGAAAAGCTGGAAGCATTGACAATTTGTTGTACTTTACCAGAGCACTTAAGCCTACACTCTCGATGATGGACACGATTATTGTATCTACATAAATGCTGCGCGTGCTTCATGATAGACAATATTTATTATTAAATTCAGTGCTCCCATAAATCAACTAAAAGAAATCTGCTTTAGTGTAACTTGATGACGAATTTACTACATGCCTTCAAATTCCCAGAATTATTCTCTAATTATATGTTTTTGTGTTCTTGTCGTCTACTAACTTTTGCAGATGGATTCGATTGTTTACAAGAGCTTTTATCTTGGTTTTAAGACACACCATGAATGTGCAGAGAATCTTACACTTTTTCCCTGTTTGTGACTTCCATGCCTCATTAATGGCCTTAGTATATGTATGTATTGCTGATGATTTACAAGAAAAAAGAGGGTTTTAACATTCTAAATCATCCGCAATAACCCATATCCTTATTATCCAAGATGGTTCGAGGAATACCCTCCATTAAGCAGGAGACTGGCGGGATCGTTAGCGTCTCAATGTCCCCGTAAACGTTCCAACAAAATGGGTCCGAGACCATATCTCCTTTCACCGGAAGAAGCTCGATATCGGAGAGTGTGATGTTTGTACATGGAACCGAATCGCTGCAGGCAAAATGCATCGGAGGGCTTCGGATGTCGTATGTTCCCTTGATCTTTTGTAGAGTATGTCTAAGACGTAAACAGCTGACGTTTGGTTTGTGCAGCCCTTTGCAAGGAAGTAGAATCGATAGATTATTATCGGATTCCTAACATTTTCCATGGGAATGTTGGTGAATGTTATGCCCGATACAGCTCCAGATCCACCTTGCATGTCTTGATCTTAACACCATTATCTGATGCCTTAATCACCGAGTCTCAAACGTGATGTTGGAGATGCAGGCTCGTGAATTATGATTACCCAGGCTCCCGATGCTGAGGGGAATAACAGAGGGAACATTTGCAATAAGAATAAGCTTGGCAAACAAGAAATCAAAAGGTTAATACAGTTCAGTAAAAACATTTGGGATTACCTGATTCCATGACCAGGGTCCGCAAGTTAGATTCTTAATATCAACATCATAGCATCCTGATCCAATGGATACACAATCATCACCTGTGAAGCAAAATCATCAAGAAGCTGAGCTTAATTTTAACCCAAGGGAATTGGAATTTTGAGAAGATTCATGGGATTTCGGGTTAACCATTAGATATAACCGAGTTATATATTTCGGCACCATTCGTGTTGTCTATATGGATCCCATCAGTATTGGGACTCAGAGCTGGAGCAGTTATGTGAAGGGATTCAACATGGACATTCTTGCAACCATCGAATCTGAAGTGGAACTGGGGACTACCCTTAACTATAAGTCCTTGCACAGTCAAGTTGGATCTCATGAAAAACCTTATCGCCTGCATCATGAAGGTTAAAATCATACAAATTTCTTCGCATTATCTTGGGGAAATAAATTTAAATAGAGTCGGTCAATTTACAATTGGGCTGTCACATGGTCCTGGCAATGTTGTTCTGTTCATGCCTGAGCAAATGCAAAAGATTAGCTATTTAACTCAAGTGGCATAAATTTAAAAAGTTACTAAGAGTGAGTTCAGCTATACCTTGTGTAGCTTGCAAGGAAGATCCCACCATTTTTGCCCTCTACGATCAATGAGACCACTTCCTTGCAGGGACATTCCGTTCATTCTGTAAAAGACGAGCCACTGGCGCTTGTTGTTATTCTCCGGCCAGACATCGGGCCCATCAGGAGGCATAAGTGTACCATCAACCTGAAAGACCAGTCCACCTTGACAAGGACCGGTAAAAATTGTGGACTGAATCACGAAGGAAAAACCGAAAGGGACATGGAGGACTGATGAATTAAGTTGACAAGCAGAGTCTCATGCCATCTTGAATGCTTTCGTCTCATCTGTTTCACCATCCCCCAAAGCACCAAAGTTTCTTACATCGAAAGCACCGGTAGAATTATCGGCATTTCCATCGTTAGATGGACCAGGCTCAGGTGCGAAAGGACTCTAAGGCTCGGGTGCAAGAGGACTAGAAGGCTCGGGTGCTGAAAAAGGAGCGGCTGAAATTTCAGATATTCTGTGATGGGGAGTAGATGTTTGTGTTTAGTATGGTGATGATGCCATCTTCCTTGGGTGGAAATGAAGAAACAGACAAAAGACATGCAAAATGTAAATAACGATACACGAAAATGCTCCATTTTTAAGCTAAAATTAGTTCCACCAATGAGGACAGATCAGTAGAGAAGGAAGCAAGTGACTTCCTTCGATCGAGTAAGCACTATGTTTGTTCAATTTGAAATGCATAGTGAACCTGAAAGTCTACATATATATACTATATGAAAGTGTAATACAAAAAACAGATGGTGGGAACTGGGAAGTATTATCAAAAACATCTGCAACTTTAGATTATTTTAATTGAGTTTTTGGAGGCGGGAACCGACCAATTCCATATAGGAATTGGCTTTTTTTTTTTAGTGAAGGTGAAGTCTGTATATGGCAGTTCTGGGGAAAAAAAAGGCCCCCTTTTTCGTCCCATAACTTCCACTTTCATTGGCCGCAAGCAACTTGAATTAATATATATGCAGTGGAACACGCTTTCGAAAAACCTGCTGGTTTAGTTATGGGAAACTGAGCAGACCCTTTTTAATGCTACATAATACGTGGAACATCCGAAGAGGAATCTGATATTTTTTCTCCCATAGACGAGAAATGTATTGAATGATACAGCCATCTTTGCAGCGACCATGGAAGGCAGTTTTTTCGGTTGCTTCTTTCAGTAACAACCAATGATGGTTCCGATAACACATTGATTGCCGTGGGGTAGTTGATGTTTTAGACAGTGGTGGTCGGCTATGACGTGAGCACAAGGCATTCAGGAAAGCATGACTTTGAATAGGAAAGAATTGTTTTTGCAGCAAAGACGGTGAGGGTGTAAGGGTTGGTTGATTGGGGCGGTGGTGCACTAGTTTGAGGTGAGAGAGCTATCCCCACCAAATAAAAAAAAACCCACTTAGTTTTTAAGGTACCTTAATTCCTTTTGTGTTGTACCGCATAGGGGTGCCGCAATTTTTCGTCGAGCGACTGCTGCATATACATGATTAAGATAAAACTAAACTATTGGTTAAGTTTGTGCGTTCAGGAATAGGATGGTGAAAGGTTATAGGCTGCTAATGATGGATGCAAAGAATATGGTTTTACCATCCTAACAACATTATTTTCAATTTTATTATATGAATATATATTTAATTATTGATAAATAAAATCATTTAATGTTTAAAACATTTTCATTTAACTAAACACGTTATTTTTATTTATTTATTTTTGTTTTTGGGTGGGGGGAGACAGCAGAAACAATTTTTTTTTAAAAAATTGAAGCTTTAAGTTAATCATATGAACAAGCCCTGGTTAAATTACACAGAATTAAGTTTCATAAGCAGTTATGATTCAAGCTGCAACATAAAACCAACCCTCTCTTTCATATGCAGCTCCAAAATGTTAGGTCTGAACAATGTTAGCTTAAGAATACAAATTAATGTTTTGAACCAAGCCTTTCAATGCACCTAAAGAAAAAGAAAATGAGACGATTATCGTGTTGAACCTGAGCTTTTAGCATATGCTGCAAACCGATCCAAACCACTTTTGAGTAAATTTTCAAGAAATGGTTGAAGTACCTGTGTAATTTAACAGAGTAAGAAGACTGATTTCTTCATGTCAGCTCCAGATTTCAATTATAAAAACTAAATGATTTGCTGTACACCAAAGTTAAACATTAGTAGGAACTTTTATTTTTTTTCCTCCTAGGTAACAAGTTTTACATGTTTGCCTCAACGGCATTCTTTTTCATGGCAAGCATACTTACGGATGCCACCGGGATCAAAAGCTGTGGAACTTCATAAGAAACCGTCAGCTGGAAAGGAAAATTGCAACCAGTGAGCACAATTTGAAGTAATAGCCAAAAAAAACTCATCAGCACTATACACTAGGGCGATAAATCAGTAAAGCATCGACACGAAGTACTGTAATGCAGTTTGATGTAACTGCTGCTATAAGGAAGAAGGTTGATGTAATGCAGTTCACCACTTTTGAGGAAGCAATAGCAATAAATCAGTAAAGCATTGATGCCAAGTATTGTATAGAGATTCTCACTTCTATTAGACATGATGAAGGTCCTTTAGGATAAAATCGAACAGCACCCCTGACATGTAAAATCCAGGTTGTTAAGACTCTATAAACAAGCCGATGCAAAAGATAAAAAGGAAATTCTATTTAAAGGAATGCAAGAAAGTAGAATTAAATAAATTATCTAATTTTTGAGTATATGAAATGAAACAAAAGGAACTTCAACATTGTATGAAAATTATAAGGCAACTCATTTCATTTTGCTAGATGTTCAATATGCCAGATGAAGAGGAAACAAATGATAATTTATTTGTCGAGTGTCGATATTCTTGATGTGTATAGAAGGAGGTGCTGCAACTGTGATATTTGCATAGGTAGCCTCTCTCTAGCCAGCAGGAAATCGGATGATTGCAAAATGGAAAAGGGGAAAACTCTCCTCAGTCATTACAATTATTCTCAGGTTGGCCTGGAATGCTTATGTATACTGGATATGTAGAGAGGAATAATAGGCAGTTTAGAGGACGGAAAAGAACTGAGCAGGAGCTACTGGAAATGATCAAGGTAATTGTTAGTGTAAGATCGCCTGATACTAGAATTAACATGAATGATATAGTCAACAATCAACTTTTTCTAATAGAGTATTAGACAAAATGTATAGGGAGTTGATCGTTTGTAATAGTCCTTGAAGTGATTGTACAACTGTAGCAGATCTCTGCTTACTTGGATAAATGAAAACAAAGCTTATCCAGGAAAAATAAAAAGGACTTCAGGGTCAAGCACAAACAACACTCCGTGTATACAAGTACAAAATCGAAAAAGAAAGGTTCTAAGCGAATGTGATAAGACAGTCCACAAGTGCCAAAGCTTAAGTGGACAAAAGAGCTTTGGTGACAGCCATTCTCATTTGTTTCGATTAGTTGTGCTTCATAGCATACTTGAACGAAAACAGGTGGTAACTGAAAAGAAGATGTTCCAGTATTATAATCTTATAACTCCTCTAGAAGGTGTCTTCAAAATATTATTTGTCTTGTGAGTGGGGTAATTATCATCTTTCATTGTGTCATTTCCATCATATTTCAGGGATATGCAGCACCTAACAAACAAATAAACTGTTCTGCAATGCGAGAGTTTCCCAGTGGCAGATGGTTAGTTCATAGAGCTCTGTCATCGGCAAGACAAAAAAAAGAAAATGATAAACTGTCCTAAAAGAACAATGCAAAGTCTGGTTATTCGAATATGTTTGATTCAATGAGACAATGCAACTCCTATTACTGTGTTGTTTTTGGCTTGCCTGTTAGGAAGTCCTTCCAGAGATCTCCAGTGAATTTTCTGATTCGGAATGGGCTGCACGAGAAAATTAATTATCAGTTCCAAAAGAAATTTATATATATATAAAGGGCCAAGGAAAAGAGAGCTAATATCATGTTCCTTACTTGCATATTCCTAGCAAGCCAAGAGTATTCCAGATCACGGCCAAAAGCGTTATACTTCAAAGACCACCTGGACAAGGCAGGCTCGTCTTTCAATACCTGATTAGAAATACAAAAGAATCAAACTTTCCACTGAAATTATCGCCGCCTGCCGCACAATTACAACACTTTGAGAAAGACCCCTTAGAACACATTAGCAACAGACACTAACCTTGACAGATGAAATGAACGGCATCCAATTGGGAATTGCTTCACGATCAGAGTAACAATTGTAAGCCACGGAAGCAGGCACATCAACTTCAATCCTTGCCCTGAACCCAATTTTACACTTACAATTTTGGGTCAACGAGTAAATTGTAGTCAATAGAAAGAAGAACAGAAGGGAAGTTTGGGAAACTAACGTGCAATCCTGCCATTCCATGACTGGAGAAAAGGGCCTGGAGAAAGTGAAAAATGAGGCTTTCTTAAAGGACCCATATGGGATTCTGATGAAGATTCTGTTAAGAGACAGCGGCTTCAAAGGATAGACTCTGCCACAGGACATGGCGTTGTATAGAATTGCATTTCTCTTTGCTGGGAAGACATGGCTGAGTCTCAGGGACGTTGAACTTGAAATTAAGGAAATTGCTGGTGAAGACATGGCTCAGAAAATAATTGCAGCAAGGAAAGATAGAAGGCAACTGGACGCATTCGGACAACAAAACACCCTTTGTTTGCCTTTTTACTTTCAGGGTAAACTATATTGGACACCATTAAACTTTAGTCGGTTCTCCGTTCATACCACTAAACTTTTACTTGCTCTAATTATAGCACCAAATTTTAATTTTGACTTCAATTATACCACTAGGCTGTTACAATCTAAACGGCATGATGACATGAACAAAACAACATTATTTTGTTGTGATTATTGATACGCAAAATAATATCTTTTTAAGCACTAAACTTTAAGTGTATATCAATTTTGCCATAAAACATTTAACGATTTCTCTTTTTGGCATTGCACTTTTACAATCGTCCCTAGAGTAAATAATTGACCATCACTTGTCACATTTCATGACAATATTGATATAAAAATGTTTTCGCATTTCACTCATCTTTTTCTCATATGATATGTTTTTCAAGAAAATCATCCAAAATTGATGAAAGTAAACAAAAAAAATTATTATCATTATGGACACTATTTTTATCTGGGGTTTTATTTTGAGTTTTAGTCAATATTATATATTATACTATATCATTTTTATTTTAGGTCGAACTAAAAGGTGCAATTCAGTAGGGGTAGAGTCACGGTCCAAATTGAATTCCATTGAGGGTCTAAATTCAAGCCTAATTGAGCATGCAGGTTTGACCCGACAAGCAAAGTTCGGTTAGGGTTCAATCAGACAAATTAGGATTTGGTACTAAAGCATCAACACCGTATAATTTACTGTCATTAGATCGAGTCACGATCAAACGGTTCAGATCGAAAGATGGCAAGAGTTATAAAACCCAAAAAACATATGATACATGAGCGTTGGATCTAGCCTTTTGATCCAACAACCAAGATTAGATCCAGAAGACACCGAGAGAGATTGAATGTCACACCCCAAGATATGGATTAATATTTTAGACTTAATAATGTAGAACTTGTAATGGCTTTAATTTTATTTTTGGAAATAAATTGAAAAAAGATCTTTTGAAAATCTTAAAATGTTTAGAGGTAATTTTGTAAATTCTAAAACCTTTTGGAGACTTTGCTCTTGATTAATCCATGTGGAATTAAAATTCAGTTTTGATTTTAATTGAAACTCTGCCGCCGTGCATTGACTGCTTAATTCCATATTTCAAGATTTGAATTGTCCTGCTTGTATATCACTCAAGCCTAAGCTAGACCCAGATATAGTTAATCCGAATGTTGACTACAAACCATGGCGAAGCTTGGTCAAATGGAATTTTGATTCGAGTACAACTTTGATAATATTTTTAGTGGTTACTATTAGATGTGTGTTTTATTGTGCTATAATCATTTTAAATTTTGTTTGTTAATTAAATGTGAACAATGTCATGAGTTGTATCTAAATCTGTGTGTACTTTTAATTGTGTTACTGTGATTTATGTTCTAAACTATATAATTTATTGATTGGTTGTCAAATCTGTTTTTAAATTAATTGTGAGATGTCCGAACCTTGTATTTTTGAATACTTATGAGATGTCCAAACATGTTTCTAAAATAACTATGGGATGTCTGAACAATATGTTTCCTGAACTGTAACTGCCCGAGCAATATATTTTCTGAACTGTGACTGTTTGTATTTGCGCGTGTTTTTGAAATTAATCTTATTTTTATATCACAAGTCCGGTGTTGTCATGTAATCTGTATAAACATTTCATTTGTCTAATTTTATGGGTTAGGATGTGAAGGAGGAAATTTGATGGTGTAACTGTTATACAATTTTCAGAAACTATTTTCCTGAATTTTAGTAGTTAGCATTCCTGTTTATTTGATTCGTCGCATCCTATTTGGTATTCGGTTGATTATGGGTTCCGGAGAACTCGTCCTGTAAAGCTTTGTGAACGGTTGGATAGTTGAGAGTTTATTAGATCGTGTCTATATTTTGATTTGTCTGTGATTTCAAATTTGTTGTGTATGCTTATGTGATTTCCTGAGTGCTTTTGTTTGTCAGCACATTTTGACCGCACTGTTAATAGTATAAAAATTGAATAAAATTATTTAAAAATTTGATTTTATATCTGTTAAATTTTTTAAATTGATTTTCTGATCAATTCGGTGATCAATATAACCTTTGGGACACGGCTGTAACTTCTAGGTTGGATCCAACGGATTACACCAAAAGTCTCGATCGGATAGATCTCGGCCCGTGAATACCACGCGCTGACGAAATCACCATACGCGCAACAACAGAAGCACTTTCAGGCCATGGAAATTTTTGGAAACTTTAAAAAATAATGCAGAACCGAGAGAATCAACATAACCAAAATGACGACAATAATCACAGATCGAATAAAAAGGGAACACAACCTTGGTTCACAATAAATCGAGACAACCAAAAAAAAATCAGAGATCGAACCAAAGAAGGATCAAAAGAAAATCAGGAAGAAATCCCAACGATTTCGGGATTAATTTCTCCCCACCCAAGCCTTATAAAAACATGTGAAGAAACAATAAAGGGGATGAGTGGGAGAAGATTCGAAACTTAAAACCATAAAAGAGAGAAAAAGAGCTGTTAGGTTTCGATCGTGGAAAGGGAGAGCACTGTCAAAGGCCAAGAAACATCATCAGGAAGTTTGTTCGTCGCTGTGAACATGAACAATCGCCTTTGAAGATAAAAACCTGAGGGCTCTCGGCTAAGATCTACACCGTGGGTAGATTTTAGGGCCTGTGGTTGGTGGATCTAGGTCTGGTTCAGGGAGACGAGCATTTTTTGTAGCCTTTAGGGGCATTTTGCTGGCCCAATCTCATTGAATGGGCTCTATTCCCACCTTTACCGGCCTACATACCTCCTCCTTTTCCCTGAAACTAGGATGCTAGATAGCATTAGCAAGTAGACTAGCTGCGCTCTGCTCCATTGCTAGATAAAGATTTACTAACCAAAATAATACAATTTTTTTTTAAAATATATATATAAACAAAGAACTAAAGCGATAGAAGAAAAAAATAGAAGACGGAAAAGATTATTAAGGATCATGATAAAATATAGTTGACAATCAATTAATCAAAGAACCACCTCATCCTTTTAAATAATCTAATTTGTTAATTTGTAAAAGATATACAAATATTATCATTACTATATTTTTTAATATATTATCTTGGAAATTTTGTATTTACAAAATAGATCAGAATCCAACAGGGTTTTATTCTCAGTTTAGCCTTTTATACCTTTTTTCCCCTTAGCTTACTCTTTTATACTGTCATGGTCTATAATTTTAGGTCTATTAGTTTGTGTACAGGTGTCTATAAGTTAGTGGCTAAAGTCTTAGTTAATCGGCTTAAACCTTTCATGTCTAAATGTATTGTTATTAACCAATGTGCTTTTCAGATAACTTTCTATGAGTTTTTTCATTATCTTAAAGGTTCTAAAAATGACCCTAATAAGGGTGTAACGCTTAAACTTGATATGGAAAAACCTTATGACAGGGTTAAGTGGAACTTTCTGTTTACCATTATAGAGCGAATGAGTTTTAATGACAATTTCATTTCAATTCTGAAGAATTGTGTTTGCACGGTTTACTTCCAACTCAGAATTAATAGACAACTATCGAGGTCCTTCTTCTCGGAGAGGGGCCTCAGGAAAGGGGACCCTCTCTCCCTATACTTATTTATTTTCTATGCGTAGGGCCTATCAGCATTACTGATTGAAGCTCAACAACAAGGCTTGATTAAAGGGGTAAGGGCTAGTTTGAGAGGCCCTTGGATCACTCATATTTTTTATGTTGATGATAGTCTCATTTTCTTAAAGAATTTTGTGGTGAAAGCCCAAACGATTAAAAGCCTTCTAAGCATCTATGAAGACGCATCCTGTCAGAAAATTAATTATGATAAGTCGAGTATCTACTTCAGTAACTGTACGTGTCAGGAACACAGAGACGCATTCTCAAGATCTTTAATGTTGCTGAGAAAGAAGATCCTGGAGACTATCTTGGGCTCCCACTTGTGGTGGGGAAAGGTAAGATTGATACGTTCAATTTTGTTAGGAACAAAACTGCTAAGTGTATTCAGGGATGGACAAAGTTTTTTTTTTTCTGAGGCAGGGATGTTTTTCTCAAGTCGGTAGCCCAGGCTTTACCCACTTATGTCATGTATTGTTATCTTCTTCCGGAAGGCATCATTGAGGATATTACCTCTCAGATTCGCTTATTTTGATGGTCAGCCAAATAAGATAAAAGAGGGTGGTCGAAGGTCTTGTGGAAGAAAATCTGTAGATCCAAGAGGGAATGAGGCCTTGGATTTAGGGACCTTAAGTTGTTTAATATTGCGTTGTTGGGCAATCAAGTTTGGAGGATTCTTCATAACCCGGAGTCCTTAGCAAGAAAGGTTCTTAGAGCCAAGTACTTTCCCAACCACATGTTTCTTGAAGCAAGGCTAGGCGACCGACCTTCTCATTCATGGATAAGTATTTTCATGGCTAAGGAAATGTAAAAAGAAGGTTTCTTTTAGAGAATTGGCTTTGAAAGTCGGAGGAAGTTCTTTGGAGATTCTTGGAGAGATTCCTCTTCTATTTGCTAATCGAACTACTATGCAGATAATGTACCTTATCCCTATAAATGCTCTGATTTCAAGCTCCCTAGAGTTCTAAGGTAGGACGAAGATTTAGTCAGGAGAACCCTTCCCAAAGAAGACACATATAAGGTAATTGATATTTTGATTGTGCCAATATCAGGAGATAAAATCATTTGGAACCATCACTCATCGGGATGCTATTAAGCAAAATCGGGTTACAGCTAGATTTTACTCCGACAAGAGATCCCGAGGGATAACGAAAAAAATTGGAAAACGCTTACCAAAATCCCAATTATTCCTAAAATTAAGATTTTCGGATTGCGAGTATGCCATAATGCGTGGTGCCCTTTTTGCAAAGACAAAGTTGAAACATCGATCCACGTTCTTAAAGATTGCCCTCAGGAAAGAAGAATTTTGCAATCCACAGGCTTCAAAAATGATATTTTCGAATGGTGAGGAAGCAACTGTAAAGATTGGCTGGATTGGACGGCTTCTCAACTCAACCAATTCAGACTAGTGTGGTTAATTGTGTTGCTCTAGAATATCTGGAATAGGCGCAACAAGTTCATCCATAAGGGCGAAGTTATGCAGGATAGAGAAGTCGTCATTACTTCTTGGAATCTCTGTTCAGACTTCTTTGATATTAATGGGAGTTGCATGTACCATATGAAAGCATCTTTTCGATCGAAAAGATGGACTAAACCTCCTAAAGAGGTTATCAAGATCAATGTTGATGGCGTGTTCAATCCTATGGCGAAGATAACAACCATAGGAGTGGTTGCACGAAATTCTCATGGTTTGGTGCTTAGAGAGATCCAATACCTTTGCTCTGCAGAGGTTTCCGAAGTGGAAGCTTTCACCCAAGGCATCAAATTTGCAATCGATAATGGTTAGGACAAATTATCATTGAGGGTGACGCTATTACAATCGTCAACAGGCTCATCAATTGCAAGGATTATGTTTCTACGATCGGATTGTTACTCAATGAAGCTCGAGGGCTACTTTCTTCTAATTTGGGGCTCAAACTCTACTACGTTAATCCAGAGACAAATAAAGTTGCACATGGTCTAGCGCATTGGGCTTTGTCGAATCTCAATCAGATTTGGTTTTTTATAGATGAACCTGATTGTATTAGACAAATTATAATTGATGATGCCATTGGCCTTTAATGAATTCATTTTCTAAAAAAATACTTCTATTATCGTTAAAAAATATTGTAAACTACAAGTTTAATACTTAAACTATTAATTTTGTTTTATTTTAGTACTTAAAGTTTCATTTGTTTCAAAATCATGCCTAACACTTATTTTTTATTTTGTTTTGGCACCTGGTCGTTAAAAAACTTAGCAGAACTGTTACAACATGACACTTTTTATGGGTAAATTACATCATTTATCATTCAACTATCTTTTCACTCCTGTTTTGGTCATTAAAGTTAATTTTTTCTTAATTTAATTACTTAACTTTCAAATAACTCCTAATGTAGTCACTCTAACTTTCTAATTTATTTTTTGTTTTAATTATATATTAATAAAATAACAAAAATATCATGTTATATAAATTATTAATAAAATAAATTAGAATGATTAAAATATGAGTAATTTTAAAGTTGAGTAGTTAAATTAAAGATTTTTAAACTTTAGTGACTAAAATAAGAGTGAGATGATAGTTAAGTGATTACTGGTGAAATTTACCCATAAAAAAGTCAGTTGCAACAGTTCCATTTAGATTTTAACATCGGAGCTCTAAAATGAAACATAAAGTAAACATTAGATATAATTTTGAAACAAATAAAAGTTTATGTACTAAACGAAATAAAACTTATAATTTATGTATTAAACATCGAATTTACCCTAAAAATAATATGATCAACACGATGTTATCACCTATAAGGAAAGTAAAAATATTTTGAAATATAGAAAATAAAGAAAGCATAGAAATATAAAAAAATATCCTTAAAATGTCGGTTAAATTAGTCCAATACCATTGGCGTCTATATTAATTGGGTTTATAGGATAACTCAAATATTATTTTGGGATCTATAATAAACATTATTTTGGGATTAGAAAATATATTTTTGCTCAATTTATTGGAACTCATCTATCATACGGGGAAGTTCCAAAAAAAAAATTGTGAAAAAGGGATTATTATAATGTGTCTTAATAAAAATCCCTTAAACTTAGTCGGAAAAAAGTACACATGATAATAAAAAGGGTAAATTACATGTTTAGTATCTAAAGTATCACTTTTGTTCCATTTCAATACATAAACTTTTAATTTTTCAAAATCATACCTAATGTTTACTTTTTGTTTCATTTGAGCACCCCATTGTTAACTTTTGTTTCATTTTAGTTACTTATTTTTTAACGGTGGGTTACTAATATGAAACAAAAAGTAAACTTTAAGTATGGTTTTAAAAAATTGAAAGTTTAGGTACTAAAATGTAACAAAAGTGATACTTTAGATACTAAACATGTAGTTTACCCTAAAAAACAATAGATAAACCAAGTCAAAACTTACAAGATAGCCAAATCAAACTGAAAAGCACAGTAAGCGAACCACCTACTTAATTAGCTATTATCATCACGTAATATTTCCTTAACATTTTCCGGAAGAAAAGGCATCAGTTGAATTTCCATAACATCAGCTTCAGTACTCCTAGCCGAGCAGTCAGCCAACGGTTTCCTTGTCGAAGGGTGTGTTGGTTTCGAACCTCCCGCTGGCGATCAATCACAGCAAAAAGATAAGCCAATATAGAGCAATTGTACCACCTGTGTTCTTTCTATCTCGAAGCAAGCAAGTAGCATGTGAGCCATCAGACTCCATGACTTTCCCATATTTCATGTCCGACATATATTCCCCAAAGCTCGGCTTCAAGCACTGAGCAGATGCCAAGAAATTTTTTAAAACCCATCTCCCGCCTTCCGTTGTGATTCCGAATAACTCCCCCATAAGATGCCATGCCGTTACTCTCTCATATTGCGCCGTCTATCGAAACTCACCGACAAGTTCAAAAAAGAATTTTGGGTAAACTATCATTTAGTACCTAAACTATCAGTTTTTATATATATAATAATTAAATGATAAATAATTAATTTAAAGTAACATTTTAATTATTTTTGAAAGTTGATTATGTGATAGGATTTGAATGAAAACATCATGCTTTTTGTTTGCATATAATTATATATGATAAGAGACTGATGGCCATTTACACGCTTAAAGAGTTAAGGCTCACTCTGCTTTATATTGAATTTGCATGTAGGGTAGTATCTTATGAGTAGTAATTATTGCTGTAGTGTGATGGTGATATTAGAATTATGATAAATATTCTTATTATATATTTTAAAATTATAAAAAGATTAAGTCTGTTTGTAAAAATAATTTTAAAACATCATATATATTTAAGACTTTTATATATTTTTATTCATAACATATTTTTATTCTACTAAAAGTTTGAGTTTGGCCTGGTGGCGTGGTAGTGATAGGTTCCTGATAAGGGTGATTAATGCAATCACGTGAAGATGTTATCTTAGTTGTATTAAACTGGAATAAAGTATTCACCAGATGCAGTGTATACAATGAATTTGCTGCGCACACAATAATTTATAAGCAAAACTATTCAGATTAACAGTTGACTTAAAATGGACGGCTGATCAAGTTCCAAATCCCCAAGATCTGTGCTTTCATCATTTTCTGTCATGCACTAATAATAGAATTAGAGATGAATAAAAGAGACAACGAAATAGTCCTCTTCAAATTTTAAACTGACACGATGTTAAAAGAAATTTTATATTTGATTACATATTTATTTTAGTCCTTATATTGTTTAGAATATATTGGTTCTAATCTTTTATTTTTGATAAAATAATTTATTTAAAAATAAAACCGTTAGTTATCAAAATGTTAATACTTCAAAATATGAGGTTTTTATTCTTAAATAAAGATTGGAAGGCTAAGCCTAAAATGCTCAAAAAAAAAAGTAAAAGGCAATTTGACTATTTAATCAAGGCTTAATGCTCAAATAAGTATCCAAATTACATCGTTTGTGTCAAATAAATGTCTACGTTTTTTTTGTTCATCTTGATACCTAACATTACAAACTTTAATATATTCTTTTAGCCTATTGAGGTTTAACGTACAGGATACAGTGGACGTGGAAGTTTCGGTGGTAAACATGGAAGATACGGTGGAGGAGGAGAGTTGCAGAGAATGGGAAAGGAGGGTGGGGGTAAATTATTTTAGGGTTTTTACTTTTTAGGATTAAAATATTAACATTAATGTATTATTTTTTTATTTTTTATTTTAAATTTTATACAAAAAATTATAATCATGACACATGTCAAAAATGAATGGATAACGGTTTTTAATTAACAGTCGTTACTCCTCAGACACCTAAAGTACTAACGTTTATAACGTTAATCACTCGAATGGACCAAAAAAAACGTAGACACTTATTTGACACAAACGGTATAATTTGAGCACTTATTTGGGCATTAAGCCTTTAATCAAACTCAAAGATCTTTTACCCTAAATTAAAATGTTGAGGAGTTAAAATGTTAAAAAGACAAGGACTAAAATGATCATTTTAATAAACTTGGGAGCTATTTCTGATATTAAATCTTTTAAATTCTTCTATAATTTAAATATCTATATTTTTATTGATAAATTATTTTTATTTCTTAAAATTTTATAAATTCATGCGTACGTAAGAACTTATTACACGAAGCATCGAGCTTTGCCAAAGGGTAAGCACTACTACTATAAATAGGAAAGATCTGGAGGTCAAAACAACAGCAGATCCCAGGGAATTGCTAAGAAATTTTCCCAAATGTCAAACGCAAGGTATGTTTAATTGTTTATGTTTATCTCTATTAGATCTGCCATTGCTGATCATGGTATGATAGTTTTGTAGGTTGGAAGGTAAGGTAGCTCTTATCAGCGGTGCAGCCAGCGGGATCGGTGAGGAGACGGCGAGGTTATTTGTACAACATGGAGCATTCGTTGTTATCGCCGATGTCCAGGATGATCTCGGGAACCAAGTCGCTGAATCAATAGGCCTCGACAAGGTTAGTTACCGGCATTGTGATGTGCGAGACGAGCAGCAGGTTGAGGAAGCGGTGAGTTTCACTGTGGAGAAATATGGGAAGCTGGATATCTTGTTAAGCAACGCTGGTATCCTGGGCCCGTTAACCGGGATCCTAGAACTCGACATCGACACCTTCGACAACATCATGGCCACGAATGTTCGAGGCATGGCGGCCATGGTCAAGCACGCCGCTCGCACCATGGTAGCTAAAAAAACGCGCGGATCCATCATATGCACGGCAAGTGTAGCGTCTTGTTTAGGAGGGACAGGTCCCCATGGTTATACCGCATCGAAGCATGCTATCGTAGGGCTCGTTCGAGGAGTGTGTAGCGAGCTCGGGGCTCATGGGATCCGAGTCAACTGCGTTTCTCCGTATGGATTGGGCACGCCTCTGGCTTGTAAAGCATTCAATTGGGAACCAAGTGAAGTAGAGGCCAGTAGTTATTCCGCGGGCAACTTGAAAGGCATAGTGTTGAAGGCTAGTCATATTGCAGAGAGCGTGCTGTTTCTTGCTTCTGATGAATCCGCTTATATCAGCGGCCAAAACTTGGCGGTTGATGGAGGTTTCACGGTGGTTAAGCACGTTGTCTCACCACTTACGAATTAATGGCTGTAAGTAGAAGCCAATATTTTATACTATAAATTGGTAATTTAAGAGAGAAGTTTATTTGAGTCGCTAGTCAAACCTTGTGACCAGCTCATTACATGTGCATTTTCCTTATAATCTGCAATGTTACTTTCTTTCTTTCTTCTTTTTTTTTTTTTTTTTTTCTTGTTTTTGTAGTCCACAAATCCATCAAGTCTTGTCTGCCATTATCTCCACTGCTCCTTACTGAGACTAGAATCAACCGTTTATTCCCGAATAGGACAAAAAATGATTAATCAACATTAAAATTAAAAATACGATAAATTATAGAGAAAATCGCCTCAGTGACCAAAAATGCCTTATAATATACGATTTTAATCAACTTTTTTTGGATTTGCCAAAATGACCAACAAAATCGCAATGAGATCTCTAATTCGCAACGCGATTTTCAGTATCGCAAATTCGCGTTGCGATAGTTGAAAATCGTGTTGCGATAGTCTACAGTGTCGTTGCGATAGTCTACAGTGTCGTTGCGATTTTCCATTTCGCGTTGCGATAGTCTACAGTGTCGTTGCGATTTTCCATTTCGCGTTGCGATAGTGTACAGTGTCATTGCGATCGTTGCGATAGTTGAAAATCGCGTTGCGATAGTGTACAGTGTCATTGCGATTTTCCATCTCGCATTGCGATAGTGTACAGTGTCGTTGCGATTTTCCATTTCGCGTTACGATAGTCTACAGTGTCGTTGCGATTTTCCAAATTCGTCGCGATAGTCTATAGTAAATTAAAAAAAGATTTTGTTTCTTAATAATTTTCTCTAAAAAGATAGTATCCGCGCGGACGTGTCGAAGACACGTATTACCACGACCACGACCACAACCATGACCCGACCCGAGACGAGACGGCGGCGACGGCGACGGCGCGCGAGAGTCCCCCTTGTTCTCTTTCACTCAACAAGGAAATGGGAAATCCAAGCCTTAAATACACTTCCCAATAGTATTTCCAATATTATGTGGGATTGAGCATTACTCAACACTTCAAAGAAAATATAGCAATTTTTGTAACATGTTTCCCACTTAATCCACATATCTAAAACATTTTATCATTTTATCAAGAGAATTAAAAGAGTTGTAGATATCTACATTTCAATTCAAACTTATACATATAGTTTTAATATGATAAAATGTTTTAATATTTTTAGATATGGATTAAGTAGGAAACATGCTACAAAAATTACTATATTTTCTTTGAAGTGTTGAGTAATGCTCAATCCCACATAGTATTAGAAACACTATATGGAAGTGTATTTAAGGCTTGGATTTCCCATTTCCTTGTTGAGTGAAAGAGAACAAGGGAGACTCTCGCGCGCCGCCGCCGCCGCCGTCTCGTCTCGTCTCGAGTCGTGGTCGTGGTCGTGGTCGTGGTCGTGGTAATACGTGTCTTCGACACGTCCGCGCGGATACTATCTTTTTAGAGAAAATTATCGCAACGACACTGTAGACTATCGCAACGCGAAATGGAAAATCGCAACAACACTGTAGACTATCGCAACGCGAAATGGAAAATCGCAACAACACTGTAGACTATCGCAACGCGAAATGGAAAATCGTAACGACACTGTAGACTATCGCAACGCGAAAAGGAAAATCGCAACGCGATTTTCAACTATCCCAACGCGAAATAGAAAATCGCAATGCGATTTTCAACTATCGCAACGTGAAATGCAGCGCGAATTTGCGATACTGGATATCGCGTTGCGAATTAGAGATCGCATTGCGATTTTGTTGGTCATTTTGGCAAATCCAAAAAAAATTGGTTAAAATCGTATATTATAAGGCATTTTTGGTCACTGAGGCGATTTTCTCTAAATTATATTAATGGTTTGCTTTTATGGGATTTTTTATTATGTAAAATGAATTGCAATTTCTTTTTAAATAATTTGGGTGTATTTTTTGAAAAATCATCGGTGATCGGTATATTTATCGATCTAACACCGGTCAGATTATATTTCCCGATCTAACACCCGTAGCAGTAAAGCGCGTCACCTGAACCGCGCTATATGCTGATTTGGTGCCACGTGGGGTATAGCGTGCCCCCTGATCCGCGCTATACGCCACGTAGGGGTATAGCGCGGATCAGGGGTCGCGCTATACGCCACGTAGAGGTGAATTATATTTAACGCGGTCCCTGATCCGCGCTATATCTTTTATCTGAATAATTACATATAGCGCGGTACAGGTACCGCGCCTTATATGGTTATAAATACCCTCCTCCGTCGGTTAAGTTTCTCACATCTCCTCGCATCTCTCCTCTCAACTTATAAATTAATACAACAATTCTGTCAACGAGTAATAATTCTGGTAATCTTCTCATATTTGATTTAGAAGTTCGTGCGATTTTTCGTTATAAGGTAATTTTGTTATAATTTTTTAATTATACTTATTGTTTATTATTATTATTTGAAAAAATATTATACTAATTATTTTCAATTAATTTTTATGTTTGTAAAATTGAAAAGCGGGAGCATACGTCGAAATAGTTTTGCGGTGCAAGTAATAATATAAAATTATATTATTTAAATTATTTACGTTGATGTGTAAAAAATTTATTGTGTTATATTTTCGTTCATATATAATTTATTTAATCAGGTTTGTTTCAGTTATTTTTTTTTGCAGATATAATATTGTCGCACTTTTAAACTCAAAGAATGGCGCGACTTTCAGCTATTGTTTATTATGATGCTGAAATTCGAGAAGATGAAACCGGCGTTGTTTTGGTATCAAATGAGCGTGTTAAAATATCAAATTCGCAACGTGAAAGTCAAATTCGCGTTGCGATTTTGCGTTTCGAATTTGACTTTTGCAACAATTGCAACGCGAAAATTGCAACGCGAATTTGACTTTCGCGTTGCGAATTTGACTTTCGCAACAATCGCAACATGAATTTGACTTTCGCGTTGCGAATTCAAGGAAAACACCTTCATAAAGATAACAGACAACAATCTGATAAGTGATAACAACTGAACATATCATAGCAATGTTCAAACTCAAGTTACTAATGAATGTCTAACTGAAATGTATGCATTCACACATAAAATACACATAATATAACGTTTGCATTTAAAAATCACCTAAGTTAATAAGTCCCAAAAGGTGAAGCCAGTTGTGATTGGAATTTTGATTTCCTTTTGCTTGGCACCATATGAGCTTTGGATTTTGATGAGGATCCATATTTTGGTAGAGGAAAAGATGATTATGATGGCACTGGTGATCCACATGTCAACCTTGTATGACCACTTTCCTTGTACCGACTACATGTCGATATCCTCTTCTCTTCACCCTTAGACGGTATACGATCGAGTTTTTTTTGGTCGACCAGGTAGCTTGCTGTCCATGACTGGTGGCAAAACTATTTGTAAGTCATCTGGTATGTCCCACTCAGAAGGATGTAGAATAAGATAGACAATCTCGGCATAAGTCTGTCGATATACTTCTGTATTGTAACAATCCATAGCGTATGCGCTTGAATCGTCTTGATTTAGATGAAGTGCAACTTTTATAACATGGCCACACGAATAACCAGATGTTTGTCATTTCATACAACTACATGTCTTTGCATTTAGATCGACAAGCCCATTTAAGTTATTATCCAATACTTCAAACAAAGTGTTTGAACATGGTTCAACTCTCCACGACGTTGACTTCACAACACGTTTCGTTATCTTTTTTTTTCAGTCCATGGTGTAACATGACGTTCCAATGTTCCTATAAATTTAAATAAATAATACTTAGTAAAATATATGATAAGTTACGAATTTAAAGAAATAATACTTGTATGGTTTCTTTTCTTATAGTACCACTGTTGAATAGAGGCTCGAAAAAACTCCATTAACATAGTATTGGGTAATTTCCGGGAATGACGACTTAGAGCGTTGATTGATTCTGCACTATTAGACGTCATGAAACCATATCTTGCTCCAAGTTGATGTACTCTTGACCATCTTTCAAACCTAAAATCTTCTAGTGTTTGAGCACATTGAGGCAAAACACGTCTTAAACAATTTATATGCTTATTAAAATCCACTTCCCGATAAGCTTTTACAGTCTTCCAGTATATTAATTTGTGATTTTTTATACCAGCAGACCTTGATTTTAGATTTCTGTACAAATGAACACCACAAAGTCCATGAAAAGCATCTGGGAAACACCTTCTAACAGCGTTGTCAATTGAGTTTGCCCTATCGGATATGATTGTCAGATTGCTAATAGGACCTATGTAATCCCTAAGATGCCCCATAAACCATGTCCATGAATCAGAGGTTTCAGATTTACCAACCCCGTAAGCTATTGGCAGTATCCCATTGTTAGCATCCATGGCTACTGCTAATAAGTTTACTCCAATGTATCGACCTTTCAAATGTGCTCCGTCAACTATAATAACTGGGCGCATGCAAGTAATAAACAAACGAATCTACAAAATAATATACACAGGACATAATCATTTAAATGTGAAATGCATGTAACTAACAAAAATGAGTCAACAAAATTATATTGATTTACTAACCGCAGCACCAATGGTGATAAATAACAACTCAAAGCGTCCATCTCTATCTGTTTTGATATGAGTTACCGACCCAAGATTTTTCAGCTTTAAACTGTGACAATAAGCCGGCAGTTGGGCAAACGATGCTTCTGGAGACCCCCTCAACAATTCCAAGGCATAACATTTGGCTCTCCAAGCTTGAGAATATGAGATACTAATCTTGAACCGAGCATTCATGTCAGTCATAATTTCATGTCCCCGATATACCCTGCCATTCAAAAACATTAACTCAGCCAGAAAACCACCCAACACCTTTTTGTTTGACTGTCTATGGTGAGAAAAAACTTGGGTTCTTGAACATGTATGTTTATCAATAAAAGTCCTATCTTGAAACATTTAGCAATCTTTTATCCTCTTTGCAATCATACGCCACGTACAGTTTTTATCAATCATACACTTTGTTTCGAAATGATCTTTGCTTGATTTGTTAACTTTTAGTTGATAGCAATCTTCCACATATTTTGTATACAAAGCTATCTTCAAGTCTTCCTTTGTATCAAAACAATCATCTTTCTTGATACGAATAACTTTTGTGTAACAATCAACTGCTATCTTTACCAACTCTTCTTCCGATATCTGAAATAATTCTGGCATATTCCAGTTATACTCCCGTGGCATTTTCTTCTTTTTCTTTTCTTCGGGGACTTCTTCTTCTTTTTTTTTCTTCTTCAGGGTTATATGAATTACAGAATAGATGTTCAACATGTTCATTCACAGTCGTAACTTCTTCCTCATTATTATCAACAACATCTTCCTCGGCAGTGGCTGTTTCATCATCAAAATTCGGATATTGACCAAAATCAAAATCATTACACGCATGGTCTGTTTCTTCTTGTGAAACATCTTCCTCGGCAGCGGCTGTTTTATCATCAAAATTCGGATATTGACCAAAATCAAAATCATTACACGCAGGGTCTGTTTCTTCTTGTGAAACATCATCAAAATCTGATTATTGAACAAGATCAAAGTCAGGGTATTGACCAAGATCAAATTTTGAATACTAACTAGTATTCACAATTTTTTCTGTTGGCTCATAATCGTCTAACTGGTCAATACGAAAAAAGAAATTTGGTGCTGAAAGTTGATTGGGATTTGGATTAGGAAAAGGTTGTGGGTTTTGAGATTGTGTTTGATATTGTGTTTGGTATTAGAAATGTGGTAAAACAAAATTTTCCTGGTGATGAAATTGTGGTGGAACCATTAAATTTTAAGGTTGATAACAACGTTGTACATTGTGAGCACCATAAACTGGGGTTGAAGAACTTCGTTGATTACTACCTGCTACTGACTCAACTTCACTACTTCTAGGTTCAACAACATACAATGTAACATCATCTTCTTGCGAAACACTAATATAAGCAATGAATCGTTCAACATCTTCATTGTCGGTTAACAAATAAACTTTACCTTTTCTCTGATAAGATAGCCTAAATCCACTTAGAGGCTCTAAATTCAATTTCTTTACAACACGTAACATTAGAGTTTCATAAGTTAACTTTTTTAATGACAGTTTTAGTTGAAAAATCATAGGTAAAGGCATATATTGTAAAACACCATGAACATTCTCCCATGACCCTCCAAAACACAAATCTATCCAAACATGATCAACATTAGATGATTTCATTCTACAAATTGTAAATTAATTTTCTAAACAAACGAGCTATAAACTACATATCATCACTAACTTAGAGAAAAACATACATTTACTAAGTTGATAGTTGATAATTTGGGAGAGAAATCATTGAAAATTTATATAGAAATAAAATTATGTAAAAAAAATTAGAGATGGTGAAGGATGTCGTTGGATTTAGGGATTTAGGTTATAAGTTGATGTTGCTGCGTAGTTATATACCCAAAACATTTGTGTTGCAAAACTAAAACCTGTTGCGAAATTAAAATTCGTGTTGCGAATTTGAAAATCGAGTTGCAAAAACAAAATTCGCGTCGCGAATTCAGAAATCGAGTTGCGAATTTGAAATTCAATGTTGCGAATTTGGAAACTGAGTTGCGAAATTGGAATTCGCGTTGCAAATTTGTTGGTCATTTTCACAAATCCAAAAAAAATGGTTAAAATCGTATATTATAATGCATTTTCGGTCACTGAAACTATTTTTTCTTTCTTTTTTTTATCTTGTTTTTCTTGATTTAAGCCCTTCGTTGACACAGAAATGCATGAGAATTCTGCTTTACATTGATGGCTACTTTCTTGTGATAATGTGTTCTTTGATAATCATATCATGGACCTGACTACCTTATTATCTAAAGTCTAACAATTCAAAGATTAAATAATACCATGCCACACCATTTAGTGGCATTTACGTGTCTTTAAATTATGAAAAATTTCATTCGTATGTTTGACCATGACTGTTTCTATTTATAGGGATGGGATGTGGCGAGTTGGAATTTCGAATATTTTATTATTTTAAATTTAAACAATTTTAAAAAGGCAAAAGGGTATATGAGGCCTTGTAATTTAAAAAAAATACTAACGTGGCCCTTTACTTTTTTTACACTTAATGTGATCCTTCAAGTTAGAAAAAATTCAATGTGGTCCTTTGACTAACGTTTTTCATCTTTGACCGATAGGGCCGTTAATATTTTATGATATGGAACGTTAAGCACACCACCTCACTCTGTTTAGTGATGAGTAGACCATGACTAGGATTAAAATGCTGATTAAGAAATTAAATAATTAATCAAAGCTAAATTAATAAATTATTACCTGGAAAATCTTATTAAAAACCCGAAATCTTTCACTTTCCCCAAAAAAAAATCTCACCATTGTATCGTGCTTTTGTCCAGAAAACAAGAGATTGAACATGCACACGTTAATCAGTTAACACGATTTTTATTCTAAAATTCGAAATGAATTCGAGATGGATGAAACGTCATCAAACATCAAGATGAGTCGGTTATAAACAACAATTGCTATTATATTTGGATAGAAAGAATATCATGTTTCCTTTGTTCCTCTGAACAATCCCAGTCCAGAATCACAGAGATTCAAAACAAATAAAAACAGAGGATTAATGGCAAAAATAACCCAAAACTTTACCCTGCGATGAAAATATGATAATCGTATGATTATGATATGCTGCACCCCAACCATGGAACATCCAAAATCTGATCACATTATAGCCAGTCTTTACATTCACAGCAACCCTGCTTCGAAGAGATTCTTCCGCCTCAAAGTCTCGTCCACGAGCTTGAACCTTTTCTTCACGACCTTCTGGTCGAGGGCGGTGGTTCTGTAGACCTTAAAGACTCGATCTACTCGATCGGGGGCTGTGCTTTGAAAATACAATTCCTCGAATTTCTTCTTTGTAAACCTGGAGAAACAAAGTTGTCAAGAGGTTGAAAATTAATTAATTCTCGGCGACCGGGGAAAAACGCTTACTCGATCTTAATAAGGTTTTTCAGGTATTAATTAATTAATTTAGCTTTTATTAATTATTTAATTTCCTAGCCAGCATTTTAATCCTAGTCATAGTCTAGTCATCAGTAAATAGAGCGAGGTGGCATGCTTAACGTTCCACATCGTTAAAAACTAACGTTTCCGTTGGTCAAAGACGAAAAACGTTGATTAAAGTATCACATTAAATTTTTTTTTTGTCTTAAAGACCACATTAAGTGCAAAAAAATGAAGAGTCACGTTGATTTTTTTTAACTACGAGAGTCTTATGTACCATTTTGCCTTTTAAAAATTAAGTAAATTTTTGAAAGGATCAATTGAACTCTTTTATTATATCATCATTTGCTGTAAACTCTGACATTATAAATCGTTACATCAATACCATAAATTATTATATCAATACCGAAACAATTGATACTATTTTTATTAACCAAAAGATTATATTAATTTTATAACTTAAAAAATATATTATAATATTATTTTATTTTTTATATAAAAATAACACCCAAAAGTTCTATTTTTCAAAGTAGCATCTATTTCTATTGGATAGAAATAAGAGTATGTCGATATGACAATGTCTTTTGAAAGACTCTTTCTTAATGAAACGTCTTTTCTAACGTGATAAAATACATGAACTATTTTTTAAACATTGATATCGTCCTAGACCTGCCACATAAATAAATATGCTTCTTTGAAAAAGAATCTTCGAAAGATGCTATCATGTAAGTGTGCCTTCCTCTTATTTAAAGAAATAAATAGTACTATTTTGAGAATTAATTTTTTTAGAGGATATTTTAGTAAAATAAGATAAAAGTATTATTTTAATAATTTAACCTCGTGTACTACTAAGATTTCTGGCTATAAATGATGATTTTCTTAGTACGATCGGCAAATGATAACAAACCCAGGTCTCTAATCATAATTGCGTAATCCCCAAGTAACAAAACTCATCCCAACAACTTGCCCATCGGATATGATTGATTGTTCAAATCAAGTGAGAGACGACAGCAACCGAGACTGTTGAGCAATGATCGAAGCAGTGGAAGGGCTCTGTTCCAAAACAACCTGGTAACCATCTCCCATGTTATCCATCCCAACGCTCAACAGCTGCCAAAACAGCCCACCGGCACACGATCCCCCACCCCTCGCACTGCTGTAGATGGCGTTGTAAATCCTCTTGAAATAGCTGTTTCTCTTCTCCAAGCTGTACCCCGGCAGCTTAAAAGACATGCCGAACTCTCCTATCACAACTGGTTTTTTCACCACATAGTTACAGTCCACAGCATGTGCTTCAATCCACTTGTCCACAAAACCAAGCTGCGCCTCTTCGCTCATATTTGTCGACGGTAACCTGAAATCATTATATTCAAATCATTTTTTAAATCGTAATTCAACTTATAAAATTTAAAGAGACGAATAAAATTTTAGGAAAACAAAAACAGATTTTAATAAAAAATACATAAAAAAATCTAAAATATATAATAATTTTAGATTTTTAGGGAGACGACTGCCCTCATTCATCCCCACTAGATCCGTCTCTGTGTGCAACTGTTCGAATCCGAACTTTATAAAAAAAATCCAACCCTCTTCTTATTACATTCAAGTCAGAACAAAAAGAACAGGGGATATCCAATGTGGGAAGAAGACCTAGAGAAGAAAGAGTGAAATTACCATTGCTCAGGGTAGATATGGATAGTGGCAAAATCGACCTCGGGAATCTGGTTATTCAAAATGAAGTCGGTCCCGATGAGGTAACTATTCGGATTGTATTGTGTCTTCTCGGGAATCGATTCGCCGTAAAATCCTTCGAGACCTATTTCCAGTAGATGGTGATTGTCGATGGACTTCACATGTGCAGCCATTTCTTTTATCCAGCTCTGTTAACCAAATCATACGTACAATTCGGTGAAGTGGTGTCCAATCAAAACAGAAAGAAGAAACAAAAGCAGTAAAATTGTCTGTGACTAAGTTGCATTTTTCTCCGTGACGGTGAGCTTCTGATGCACCAATGGGAAATGGGTTTTGTGTTTTTAGCTGGAATGAACTGAAATTAAGTTCAACCGATTTTAAAGATTGGTTCTTTATTAGGTTAATGTCTCATTCGTCTTCACTGTTTTACTACTCGGTACTACTTTCTAGCTAGTGTTCACATTATAATCAGAAGACCCGAGACCAAATTTGTACGCTTCTGCAATTTACATGGTTCATTCATTCTTTCTTTTTTTTTTATAATTTTTTTGATTTCAACTTAAAATATAATGAAAAAAATATAATATATTTAATTTTAATTTAAAATATTATTTAAATTATTCTAAAAAATTATACCCTTCATTTTTTTCGATTACAACTAATTTTTAATTTTATATTAACCGGGTTATATTTTAGACTTATACGAAATCAAACCTGAAGATGAGCTCCTGATGGGTCAGTGGGGCAACGAGGTTCGTTCATAAGTTCCCAAGCAAAAATGGTGGGATCATCTTTATACGCCACTCCGGTAATAGTGTTGACTCTCGTCAACACCGCCTGCAAATCAAGTACTAACGATTAGTTTTCATGAAAGCCGGACATGATTCTCCTCCGATTAGTTTTATGAAGCCGGACAAGTTTTCATGAAGTAGAAGACCAAACCCGAAGAAAATCTCCTCCGATTAGTTGCAAAACATTTATTAAAAGGAAGAAAAAAATGGGGTTTCATGAAATTAATGCAAGTGCTTTCCAGAAAATCAAAAGCTGTATACCTTAACATGATTCTTGTAGTATTCTCTGACAACAGCGTCTGTAAAAAAATCATCTTCATTTCTCAGGTTCCGTCCTCTTTGCTTTGCCCATTGAACGTATTTATCTTTTCCTCCGTAATCTTTGAAGTTATTCGCCAAGCTCATGATCAAGTGAATCCCGTGCTTGTTAGCTTCTGCTACAACAAAATCCAGTCCCTGAAAACATAACGGACAGTCGAACAAGTAACCTTTTTTTTCATCTAACGTATAAATAATAAAGCTGATGTAAAATGAAAGTTAAAACTAATTACTCTGTTACCTTGAACACGTCTTCGTTGTACGAACCAGGAGAGGTCTGCAGAGGCTTGTAATCGCCGTCGTTAAACGCCCAAGTTCTAGCCACCTTCATGCCGTACTTGGAGGCTTCTCGGAACACATCGCTAACCTTACTCCTCGTGGAAGTGTCCGATGCAAACACCATCAACCAGTAAGCATTGAAGCCATTTATGTAAAATGGCTTTCCGTTTGCAACGAACTTCGTTCCCGTCGTTCGAACGAAGCCATTGCCGCGAACGTCGGACCGAGCACGCTCGACGTTCGTCATCAGCGTGAGGACTAACAGGAGGATGAAGCTGTTGAACCTACGACTTGCCATCGTATTCAGGACTTCGGTACAAAGATTGATAGTCAATGAAGCAGATGATATATAAGGGGATTGTAGGTGGGTGGGAATGCTGGTGTGGTTTAAAATTGTGAATCAAATTTATACAACATACGTACATGTATACCGGATTGTGTGACACGTCCATGGGTGGATGAGAAAATAAAGATAAATAAACATATATGTGTGTTTCTTAAAATAATTGTGATAAGTGGATAGTGTTTTTAGAGGAAAAAATATAATTATCCTTTTTACCAATTTTTTTTCTAATTTTTTTAGTAATTTATTTGATTTCCTAACTCAATTAATTATTTTATTTTCAAAGAAATATAAAAATTACTTAATAAATTTGTTTAAATATATGAATCAACAGACCATAATTCGTTGGAGACTTAAAACTTAATATTCTTATTGTTTCTATATATCTTTCAAAGTTTAGTTCATCTTCTTAAATGAATATTTATGGATGCATGATGCGGAGCGCGTTTAGAAACTGCATGCGTCTGTTGCTTAAGAGATTTTTGACAAGTTATTTGGTTAAATTATTCTATTAGTCCCTCTATATTAAAAAAGCTTTCGAATTTCATAAAGTACTAATTTGAAATTAAAACTGTTGAAGATAGTAGTTTGGAGTTCTGTTAGTTTGTTAATAGTTAGACAATTTTTTTTTATTATAGCTTGCTTAGTTCATTTGTATAAATACCCTATTCTTGCAAAGTAATGTTATGGGCAATAAACACATCACGTTTCTTGTCAAGAACAAGATTGGATTTGTTGATGGCGAGTACCGTAAGGAAGATTTTGATGCGGCGTTGCATCCTCAATGGGATCATTGTACTTTCATGGATACTCAACATCGTCAGCAAGGAATTATTTGTTGGCATTGTTTTTGTTACTGGTGTGGCGTTGGTTTGAAAAGACATAAAAGAATGCTTTGATAACTTCGCCTATTCGCGTGTCTTCTTCCTCCACCGTGAAATTGCGACGCTGAATCAAGGTGATTCATCTTTTTCTTCTTATTTTACACATATAAAGTTACTGTGGGATGAATACGCTACCCTCTTTCCCTTTTCATCTTGCAATTGTGAAAATTCTCATCAAAACCCGCAACACCTTCAATAACAACGTTTGTTTCAGTTTTTGATGGGGTTGAATGAAACACACGTTGCAATTCAGAGTTAATTATTTCTTGTTGTTGAAGAGGAAGTTTGTTATTTAACTCTTATAAGTTAAAGAAGAGTTAATTAGTTAGTTTGTTAAAAGGAGCTTATATATAACTTTGTAACATTTTCATTTTTCTGACGTGAATGAATTCATTTCTTGAACTCTTGCTTCATATTTCTTAACATGGTATCATCGCCAGACACCGATCCTCGTTTTTAATCGTTTCTTTTGTTTCTTGGGTTCCCTCTGTTGGGCCTTTTATTTTTCTAGCTCATTTTTTTAGTTATGTTTTTTTGAGACTGCCAACATCGTTTCTTCTGTTCTTTTGATTACAATCATCCCCTTTCTTTATCCGTCCGATACACCGGGGACACTTCTGGTTTCCCATCAACTCGTCGACATTTAAAATTACTGTGTAGAGCCGATCTATGAGGATTTCCTTACTCGTCAAGAACAAGTTTGGCTTCATCTGTAATACCCCAAATTTTGTCTAGTGACTAAAATGTAACTTTTGAAAATTTAGTGACTAAAGTATAAACTTTGAAAAGTTAAGGAACCGAAATTGTAATTTTTAAAAGTTATATATTTTATCATGTACAATTTGGATTAAAATAAAGATTTTAGTGGGAATCAGATTTTCGGTAAGGGATTTATGTTAAAAACTATAAAGCGGTAAAGTTCGGTATTGAAAACAGATATTCAGAATGAACCAGAATTTTTCAAAAATTTGAAGAATGCTAGATAATGGTTGGAAATATTGTTTTCATATTTTAGATCATAGAAATTTGGCTTAGAACAATGTCATAATCTACATAAAATTCTATATCATTTGGTACCAAAATTTCATGGTGAAGATGATTGTGTGATGAGATATGATGATTAGGGTTATGAAGAGTTTATTAATTTTAAAGAGTTTTTTAAGGATTTTTTTGTTTTTAATGTTAGTATTATTTCTAAAGCATGTACAATGATTAGAATTATTTTACACGTGTATATAAGATTTGACCATGTTAGGGTTTGTTAGAATGATGAGATTTTGATTTAATTTGTTGTTGTGATGATTGGAAATGCATGAATTTAATCATGGGAGGTTGAATTCATGCTTGAAATTGAACAAAAAGTCCCTCTAGGTGACTTGAATTATTCGGCCATAGGGAAGAAAATTGGGGGAAAATGTTAAATTTTTTCATATGGATTAGAAATGATATTAGAAGTATTCTATGTTATTTGGAGATTGATTTGGATCAATTTGGAACCTTAAAAGTGCAAAAGGGTCAGTTTACAAGTTTTTTGGAATTCTGGGATATTATCATAAGTTTTAAATACTTGAAGGATTCAATGTTGATTTTTGATGTTTGTAATGCTGGAAAATTTAGTTGGAAAATTATTTGGAACCAAATTGCAAATTTGGTAAAAGTTTGGGTTGCAATTCAAAAGGTCCTAAAAAATGGGGATTTATTTGCAAGTTGGTAAATGTAGAAGTATCATTTGGGTAAATTAGGACAATTCTGGAAAGTCTGGAAGCTTGCTGGAATTTTTGTTTAATTATTAAGTTTGAATAAAATTACAAGTTTACAGAGATTGGAAGTTTAATTGACAAAGTTTAAGAAAGTTTAGGATGAATTTGTAAGCTTTTGAATTTTTATTGGATATTTTATTAAGGTGCTGTAAATTTTATGTTATTAATGTGAAATAATCATAATAGTGAAGGATCATTATGAAGTTAGTAGAAAAGTTAAGGTGAATTATAGATAGAATTCGTAATTGATGATTTGATTGTGTAGTTGCCAAAAGTTGAAAGGTTGATAGTGAAAATAAATATTCATAGAATTGAATAAGTGTTTTTGAGAAGTTTGAAAGTTAAGATGTAAGTATGATTTAACTTTATTTCGATTTAAGTATTGGATTTATTTCTATCGAGTTTTATATTTAAGTTTAGATTATGTTAGTTCGATGCTAACATATAGTTTGAATATTTTATGATATTATATAATGTCATCAGATCAAGGTAAATCTAGTGATTCAAATAGCTTGAAGAGAAGGAAAGAAGAATGAGATTGAGAAGATTATCATGGAGAAGGTTCGATAGCGAGGCAAAGGTGAGTGCATTTAATTCGTGTTTGTATTATCGTACAAATATTGGCTTGCGATGAGTCAGTGAGGAAGTTACTATGGGAAGAAGTGACTCCTAATGTTATGTGAACTGTGATTCTAGCCTAAAGGTTCATTTATTAAGCTTACATAATTATGAAATTAAGCTAAGGATGCTAATTAAGGAAAGTTGTCTAGAAATTTGAATTTGAACAATGAGTTTAGAAAATCACCATAAATTATACATAATTGATTAGAGTATGATCTCTATATCGTTAGATTCGTATATCAGTAATCGGTGAAATGTCATAAAACTGAGCAGCAGATTCTGTCGAAACAACTTTTATCAGTCAACTTTTAAAATTCACTATAAATTGTACAAGTGGAGTTAGACGGAGTGCCTTACATGGTTAGACTCGTATTCGAGTATACTTTTCATTAGTGTAAACATAATAATTTTTTAGTATATTAATTAATACAAAATAATATTTGTTTGATAGTAGTGTAAACTACCCGAATATAAAATTTTGATAAATTGTATATTGAAATTAGTGGAAGGTAAATGATTTAAATCTAAAGCTTAGTGAGACTTATATTTTGATTTAAAATAATAGTAATAAAGTGTTAAAGTGAATCCAGTTTGTTTATTTGATTATTATTATAGTCAAGGACGACTTGCGATAAGTCAACCTCATTTTATTTTCTAGTATGATTTATAAATTTTCTGTATGGAATATTTCAATAATTTTTTGTTTTATCAAGCTTTATGAATGCTTTTGGGTATGAACTGCCCAAGTATGATATTTGAGATGATGACTTCTAAATGTTTACTATTATCATATGATTTTCAGTGATCATATGATTTTTAGTTATCAGATGATTTACAGTTATCAAATAATTATAAGATCAGATATTTCATAATTATCAAATATAGAATAATAAATGATTCTATGATGATAAGTATAAGCCCATTGTATGTTGCATTGAGAGTCGTAGGTACATTTGGCATGTCATTAAGTGAGTGTTTATTAGTTTAGCTTTGGTACATTCATGTATCAATGTTTAGTTATCAATTCAGCTTTGGTACATTCGTGTATCAATGTTCAGCACCGTTGGTGCTTATTCAGGTTATGATTGTATTGAAGTGCATCATATCTCAGTTTCAGTTATGATTCAGCACCGTGTTGTGCCTAGTGCGCACCTTAAACTCACATGTCTTATATTCTCTTACATATACATTGGGTTATAATAGTAAATGTGAAAGTTATGACAGTATGTGAAAGAAAGGAACATAGACTTGAAAAGAAAGTTTTGAAATATTTTCGAATGAACAGAACAAAAGTTATTTATGATATTCGATGTTGACTTACATGATTTTTTATAAAATCATGAGATGATGATTTTTCAGGTTTTCAGAAGGAAAAACGACTTGACCAGCCCGGTTTGAAGTTTAATGTTTTTATTTAAATTACAGTTTGTTTCTTATATTTTATGAAATTTATGGTTTTACATCACTTTAATTATATTTCTGTCTCACTAAGTATTACTTAGCGCGTGATGATTTTAATGAGTAGGTTCAAATAAAGTAGAGGTTGTGAAGTAAGGAGCTTGCCAGCATCTTATGCAAGTTCAAACCTACTGACAGTATCAGTAAGGCATCCTAACTTTGACTTATTAGTGGCATGTACATTATATTTGTTGGGTTACCTTATTAAATTTATTTTAAAAGGGTTTGTAATAGTAATCAAAGTTAT